GTCACCTGTGTACTTATTTCTTGAACATTTACTTATGGTGTTTTACTAGCTTATCTTTAGCTACGGACTTGTTTACGGAGGGTATAAGAAATTTTTCGGTAGTTTTAGCCCAGAGGTAACAATTAGCCCTTGCAACAACCATGAAAGAGAGTCACACCATCAAGATAGTTAGTGACTTTTCATGGACATTCATTGCAGTACGCATTTCAAAGACAGTCAAAACAGCCCTATCCCCAGCGTCAAGCACTTCAGCCTCTAATCCTGAACCCACTTCAATGGTAACTGCTGCTGAACACCATTTAACGTATATGAAAATGGAGCAAAAGATGAAGTTATCCACAAAATCTCACTCATAGTGAACAGTGACACGAATATAGATTTTCTACCGAGTTAATTCATCCCTATTAATGTTATTGTGTGGGATGATAGCCTGCTTGAATGAAAATAAACGTTTGACAGACACCTTTAGGATCCCATATGCTGCACGCTACAGTCAAAGTAGATGCGGAACTATGTCGGCCATATAAAGGGAGTTGCTTACGTTTTAGGGAATCCCCTCCCTCCAATGAAGGTGAGCTCAGCGAAGGAGTTTGAAAGTTTCTCCTATTTCCTTTCATGCTGGTAATCAACTAGCTGTCCGGCACAGCAGCTAGATTGGATCAGCCGTGGTCAGTTAGAAAGGCATCTTGAAAGAAGCTCCAACAGGAAAGACTTACAGTCATGATCATTTAAGAAATTTTAAACCAACGAGAGGAAATTCGGAAAGAAAGTGAACCAATAATATCCAGCAGTTGTAATGATTGTCTGCACGGAAGGTGTTGCTTTGATATCAGTGGCAGAGAAATGCAGACTCCCGTGATGCTCAAATCTGTCAACAATGACATCATATCGATTGACTGCCATTAACTTCAGATCCTCGAAGCTTTTAACCAGCATTCTGTAAATGTTGTACAAAGTTAAGTACGCCATCAGCAAAAAGGTTTTTTAGCAAAATCAGACACAGAATTCTCTGGCAACAGCTAACAACAGTTCCTACTCGTGTTCGTTAATCTAAACAGACACGATGAAAGCCAGACAGATTACCTCGACACAACGATAGCAGTAGCTATTTTTTTAAGAAACTTGATCGGGTCGGTTCTAATAGAAATGGGTGGATGGAAATAATTACTTACAATGCAGCAAACAACTCTACTCGGAGAGCCGTCAAACAGCCACCTTGCATCCTAAAAATACTTATAAGTGATACTACAGCAGCATGAGAGGACTCAGTGTTAAGATGGCGAAGAGTGAGTTCATTTTCTACCACTCTGCCCCGAAAACTGTGATCCTGACAGAAACTTGGTTAGCGACATAGAAATGAGTATAGACGGTATGCTTCTACTCAGGAGGGTAAGGGAGTATTAAGAGCAAGATGGGGTTATAGTGTACGTGAGTAACCAATTAGAAAGCAGACTACCACTATATGGATACAGCTTCCAGACTCGGTCAGGTACCAACTCATATTCAAACACCATTTACTTGGTAGGAGGAGTCTATAGACCCCCTACAAGCGATGTAAGGCAGAGTTACTGACGTTTTCAAGTGATATTCTTGGTCTCAACTATCAAGTACGACTAAATTGTTACAGCAGGGGATTTAAGCACTGAAAGTCTTCAAATACGGCAGGGCAGTTTCATACGTAGTCACGCGTATCATCTAAACTTGCCGGTTATCTCAGTAACGCCGTGGTGCGTAATAAGGTCGGTGACGGTATTCACTGATGCCAAGCGAAAAGCCATCAAAACTAGACTATCTTCTCACTAGCATGAGGGTTCAAACTTCCATTGACAACAGTGGTCACACCATGGTAGATTTGACCTGATAATCGGCTGGTGACTATTCTAGGATAGCCCTTGTTCTTGAACCCAATGCATCACTCCAGATTATGCTACGATAGAAATGTCTGTCTACAGCTCCATGGAGTTATCAGTAGTCTTCCTCCTAGTTTGACAGTCACTGAGGGTCAGATATGTCTAAACAATTTTCCCAAGTGATAACGAAATCCATTAAATCAGAGGAAAGCACGGAACAAGGTAAGGCTGCCCGGAAAAGAGTTAAGTCCTAGCGTAGATATGACTCTAAGAAAATGACACCGCATCAGTGTGATAGCGAGATGGATGGCTTTCCTGAGGAAAACTTTGTGCATAAAGTTGAGGTTAACTTTAAGAACCCATAAAGATTCGAGACAAAGGGAAAATCTGATAGCCAGAGAGCATTTATTGTTTAGGGTTTGAGTTAGGGAAAATTCTTTGGACTAGAGATTGGAGAAACTTTCAATCAAACATTTGACACACAGCTCAACAACCCATCAGCCAACGATAAGCACCAACAGCCTGAACAGAACCCTAAGTAATCCAGCTTAGAAGAGATATACACACTGCAGATAACTTAAAGCATGGTTCTTAAGAATTTATAGAGCCTTCATGCGAGAATATCCTCAGGTTGTGAAGAAAACCACCCTTTTTCATAAAAACAGTACGCAACTGCATACGTGGGTCACTATACGATCTATTTTCTTACTCCCTAATGAACACTAGATCCCAAGAGAATGAGAATGTGAGATCTATCCACCCGTCTTTAAAAGGGGTGCAGACAGTCATCAGTGTGTCAAACCTATGATACTTCCACCAATATTTTTAAAATCAGGGGAAAGGCTGATATGAAATCCAAACAGGAACACTGAAAAGAAAAGGTGCACTTCACGAGGCTAAACACGGCTTTTAAAAAGGCAAATCCTGAGTTTCCGAATTTCGTGCAGCCTATGACAACTAGGTGGTAAGCTGGAACCTTCAGGTCTCTGTTCATGCGACTTTTCTGGATTCGACCAAGGCTTTCGACAAATTCCCACTGGTAATACTTCCACTGAAAATCACATGGCTGGCTATAAATGGTCATTTACCATTCTAGATGGCGGACTACCTTAACAATGAAGAGTCCTGCACGAAATTCGACAGAGTATTCTCCACTTGGAAAAGCGGTATAAACTCTCTAATCTCCCCCCTATACTGAAGACTCTACACCTTGGAGAGTTGTTATATCTTAAACGGACTCAAGTGCACTACAAAATAATCTCGAAACGTTCGAACGGTGGTAGAAGTATAATGGACTAGCATTCAGACATACTAAATGCTAGAAAATGTTTTCTCTCACTCCTGGTTTTCAGGCGTTACTCTACTCTTTGTCTGAAATGAACCTTTGGGGCAAAACCAGAGTAAATATCTGAATATAAGTTTCACTTAAAACCAGAACACTAGTTCAAACCATATTGAAGATATTTCCAATGTCTACACAGTACCACACCTACTACGTAGGCAACTTGATCATCTAACTCCATAGCCGCTTCGTAAGCTTTACAGGAATCTCTTGGAACCCCACTCAGAAACCCGAAACATCATTGTACTGCTGCACGTGAATAAGGGCACGAACCTCCTTGAAAACGTTAAGAGATGAGCTGTGAAGGACTTTGACGATGCGGTGGAAACCATTTGAAAACAGACTAAGGGAAATGTGCTTTTGTACCCTCAGTTACAGATGAATAAGTGGTGACTCCATAACAACCTAAAACTCACTAATTAATCTGAGTCATCTGAATGAACAAATATCACCGGATAGCCATTATAGTGATTCACGTAGAAATCTGAATGGAATCTTTCATCAAATGGCAGTCGTACTTCTTCTCGGTCTGAATCTGCCAACAGCAAAGTGGACCTTACTTGACCCACCGGCAGGAATGGGTTTGACAGCCACTCAGTGAGACATAAATTGAATCAACGCAGTTAAGATACGAGCTAGGCTGGGGCAAGTATTTGGAGTCACATCCGTCTATCACTTTCTGTTATGTGCATGGCGACCCTCATTCATTACCACTTATATTACGAACTTGACTCGACCTTGCTTCGCTCACTAACTATCTACTCATCTCCCTCCTCTATCAAATAACTTACCTCTCAAATTGCCATCTCAACTTTAATATAAGCGCTATACAATTTTCACTGTCTCTGCTTTAATTTTTCCCACTACTTAATCCTATGCATTGAAATTCATTATCGCTATCTTCCTACATCCCACGTCACTAAATCTACCAAAAGTTTTCTTTTGCTTCATCTTTCGCTCATTCTTTTACTCACTTTGGTTATCTTCTCTATCCTCGGCTATTTTAATGACCAGCACAAACAATGTATACTAAGGCGATATTTCGAGATCCCGAATGTACCACAGACTCGGGATAAATCATACATCTCCCAACAAATTTAACCAATATCTAGAAACCACGGGATTGATCAGAGCTACAACAAGAGATTGGCTCGAACTTACTGCATCGAGATCTACAAAAGCCCAGAACCTTTTGGCAAGACCTTTATATGAGTGCGAAGAAATTAACTGATTTCTGAAAGATGGTAAGGCAGATGTTGAATCTGAAACCCACTTGATAATGACAGAAAACTTAGGAGAGACGGCATGTCCATACGAAATATTAAGTGCTTCATCACTTGAGCATAGATGCATTTTAATGATTTCTCACAGCTATCAAGAGTCCTAACCGAAAGACAATAACTGAGCTCTTAGATACAGTAACATTTTTGCTATTCAAATATAAACAGCCCCTCAGAAGTCTTAGCTGGACTATACGGAAACAATTGGAGACAATGTTGTTTTCAACATCATATATAAAGCTTGACACGGCTTATTCTAGTTACTGTGAAGAGATTTGTATCGTGGTGTCGAGTAATTTCTCGTCTAGTGAATGAATTTTATTTCGAGGAAACAAAATTTGGAGCCAAATGACATGACAAGAGTTAGCAGTTCACCCTTAGCTAAGGGTGGAAATCGACTCTAAAGCCAACCACTTACACAAAAAATAAGTAAAGATCTATGCAGATGGTGTATTGATGCGTGAAGCATACATATTTATGGCTTCTTGACACGAGTTGATACTTTCGTAAAAAGCATTTAAAACTCACATGCAGCTAACAGCAGATGCCTGGTAGCTTGATTCTGTTCGCCAGAATATGAAACAGGCTGTATGTCACAGCAAGGAAGCACCTCGCCGTCAGCACACAAAGTTAAGTAGTTATTTTTCTGACTTTCACTTTCCTCCGTTGATATAAGCTAGAAAGCGTGAGAATACTAAGGATGGATTCGAAATCTTCCTACAACAATTGCACCATTCGAAAGACCAATAATCCAATATTTTTCATCATTTGTAATTCGTACTACAAGAGCATTTATATTGCCAAAATCTCTATTAGACAAGATGTTAGATTCTTAATCTTATCTGAAATTACACAACATTCTGATTCGTTATACTTTCTGAAAACTTAGCTGTGACTGTAGCTTTATCTGAAGGCTTCAAAAATGTCACCAGTCTGCTTTCAGAGGATTGCGACATAACAATGCGTTTACCAGAAACTTAAAAACGGGCTGTTTACAGCAAATACGCAAAATGCTGCGGTATAACAAATCAGGATTCCGTTAACAGTACCACTTTTCGACAAACAGTAAGACGACTTATCACCATATAATTGATATTTTACGCAAATTTTTCATCTTATAATTGAAAAAAGCTCATCTTTTCTTTCAGTAAGTTCTTCGTCTAACAAAATTAAAGTGTGAAGAGGAGACATTCGTAGTTTTGAACTCTCGTGTGTACATTCTGAGGATCAGGTCTTGTTTGTAGCCCTCCGGCAGACAGTTTACCTTTTAATAGCTCTGGAGGTAGCGATTGTAAAGTTGAAGGCTCTCTTTTGAGAATTGTTCGTTGGTTTATTTGAGCAGTAGTGGGGCTGCTGGTTAGCTCAATTATTCTTTGGTACTGCTGTCGCTGCACGCCCCTGTAGGTGAGTATTTGTCATCACCCGGAAAGTATTGTCAGAGGCAAGTGAGTAGAAAGTGAGAGAATAGGAGTAAAAAGTACTTCTGGGAATAAGTTAAACTATTGGAGATCCTGTGGCTCATATTGTCAATGCCAGGAACAGCTAACACAGGGGTGGACGGGTATACCTCCAATTGCTACCAGTATGTGTAAGTGCCAGGCCATATCGCCCACGTACATATTCAGCATTCATTTGAAGGAGTCAAGTGAGGTGGCTGCTGCTCTTTTAAGTACCATGACGAATATGAGAAGGGATAGGGCCCGAAGTTTCTTTCTAGGATAGCGTATGTGTGTTCACCTTTGTCGCCATCTACTTGTAATCTGCCGTGTTGGGTGATGTATACTACGTTGTTTCTATCAATGTGGTATCAAATGAAATCTGTGACTAGGTTTTTCAGTACCCTGGAAAGTTATGTCAGTAGTTTTAACGGTCTGAAAATACATGGATGTTCTCGTTATCCTCCTTTATTTACCCGTGAAATGACAGAGCGCTTCCAATGTTTTAGGAGTCGTTTTAAGTCCAACAAGTGGGTAAACCGACTGCACACAGGTATGCCCATCACTTCGTCACAATTTCGTGGGACCGCCTGTTTGGTTTCATCACTGCCTGGAGATTTTTCCATTCTGAGGGTTTGTAATTTAGCAATCACCTGGTTTGATGAAAACTGTGCATCCCACGGCTTTGTATTACACCCTGGGACTCCGTTACGTAAATGGATTCTGGTGGTGATAAATGGACTAATGTGCACAGCTGTCAGCCGAATCGGTTGATCAACATTTCTCTCACCGCATTTCTACTCGAAAACTCTCCGTTCAATTTGTGATCAGACCGAAGACTTTATTCGTCAGTTTCTCTGGTCACACACATTGATGTGCACGTTTCGGACTGTACCCTAGCTGTTTAGCTGTATCACTTTTACACTCGAACCTGTCCTTACGAAGATTTCTGCTACATAGATGAAGTGACTTTCTGTAGCTGGGACGGCCCGATTTCTTGTAGGATGTGCGTCGCTGCACAACACCCTCTTTTTCCCCTGTGTCTCACCTTGAGTCGCACAGGCCACCCAACAGATTTTGAGCGCCAGATGACTGCTTTCTTTCAGCACACTCTTTCCTATAGTGCTCAACATCATATCTTTTATACTTTTGCAGTATGTGCGGAAAGATGTCGTTCTCACGGCCATGCTGCATCCAGAAATTCGTTCTTCACAAGCTGGTGGTCGACTGCCAAGCAACAGCGGGACGTTTCAGGTTCAGCTAGTGGCAGCTTCTCTTCGGTAATCCAGTCCATGATCACCTTTGCCAAGAGGGGCATTGGACACATATCGCCCACCGAAATATAGTCATTCCTTGGTATATGAAGTCTCAACTGTTTTCCTTATGGCTGCCATCGATTTCCACAACTTCCTCCACTAATCCTTCCACCATAAAGGCATTTGAAGACTTTTACAGAAAGGTCTGTATCTGCAACTTATGCTCGATCCAGGGTGAGCGCCTGTGGGTTGAAGTCTCCAACTAGGACCACATGAAATAAGCCGCTGAGATAGACTCTGAAAGTGGCATGATTACCTGTTTCTAATGCTTTCGGCGCATAGCAGAGACCTGTATGCTACACCTAGCAGGCACTTCACATAGTTCGTGAGGAAATAACATCACAAAGGAGTTTGGAAATTGGTTTAGTGGCCCATCTGTCAGGAGCATGCTAAAGTAGACGACGAATCCACCTCCTTATCTAAGCTGCATTCCGTTCCGTAAAAAGGAGACTTAATATGCGACTTCTTCCTGGCCCGAGCCGTATAGTGCGAGGCTTTATAAAATAATTATATCTGCATGCATATGAGAGCACACTTTTCAAAAATCCCACGGTTTGCTTCTAAGGCCAGTTTTACGTCTGCTAAAGTGTGTCAAGAAAGTACATTCTGGGCCCAGCGCAACAAGATGGCTTGTATACAGGTTGTTTTGGTGGACCACCAGTTTTCTGGACCTTCCTGATGCCCTGTTGTTGATGTAATGGAGGCGTTCACCTGATCGTTTAAAGAGGTTAGTTTATTAAATAATTCTTTTGTGGCTGACGGAGCCTGAAGTGTTCTAGAAAGCCATCTTCAGTCTTCTCGTCCAGGGGATCTCGATTCACTTCCACGGGGTCGTATAGTGCCTCCCTCTCTGCCTTTCACACTGTGCGATGCTGTAAGGGCCCCCGTGAAAGAAGCCTTAGAGTCGAAGTGTACATCTAGCAGCATAGGTGCGTAAATGTTTTGTTGGGCGGTCTTGGTGGTTGACTTACGCCACTGGTAGTTGAGCCTTGAAGCTCCATTAATGGTGACAGCTATCTCTAGTGTTTGATATGGTGGGGGTAACGACCACAGTTCTATTTTCTTCCCATTCCAGGCACCACTATGGTACATTCCCCCACAGGCCACTAAGTGTCAGTCGCTTGCCTCCGCCCTTATGTCGCAAAAGCTTGCGATACTTCATCGGCGGGGCGGCTGAAGCATATCCTTTTATTTTTTTGCTGTCACCAATCACACTGATAGGCGGTGGCCAATCTTGAGTTACTCAACCCCATTGAAAGAGCCATTATTGGCCAGATGCAAAAAGTTACATTCCTAACCAATCGCAGTTACCATCCTACTCCTCTTTGTTAAACTGCTCCCTCCTTTCCCAGAGTGCGTTCTGGCGTGAAACTTGAACGAGAGGATAAAGTCTGCTCTTTTTTCTACTGCTTGGGAGCTGTGGCTTTTGGTGGCCAACGTTTCTGGCTTACAATCTCCGATGCAAACCAGATCCCTAGGTCACTCCATTTTTTGTGGATTGTTTCTATACGAGAGGTTTTGACCTTGTGGACCCCCCGCATGAGGTGGAAAACGGTCGTTCACGTCGCTAAGGGATGAAGTTTTTCTGCACCTGTTATCTGGGTGTCCGTAGAGCTTGTACTATGTGGTTGTGCTGGTTTTTGTAGCTAACATTTCCCATCTCGTGAGCTCTTACGAGCCATCAGGCTCTCTGAAATGTTGGTGGTTACAGCCAAAATTCTGAACCCATGCAACACATCCACTTGCATGGAGGCTTTCTTACGAAGTTGTGGCGCCGATTTGGCACTCCCTCATCGCATTCAAAAGGTACCCATTCTAGGCATGTGTTGTGCGCAAACCTCCTTGAAAATGCTGCGTGCCTTGATGTGAAATCTATATGCAAAACTCCATCACCATTGGATAAAAGTCCTTCAAATGTTTATTTCTTTGTACGGCAACAACTAATTCCGATGGATTACATCTGTATTGCTGAGTAAAGTCACACTACAAGTGTGAAATGTGAGGACTTATATACTCACGTGGATTCTATGGTTATGCCAACACTTAATGCCACCTGAAATCGATAAAGTGAATTTTCATTGGCCAACGATACTGTGAATATGTGAACTGATGTCAAACAAAAGTTTATCTGATGAAACACGGAACTATACCGCCAGGTTAATCATCTAGGTTATATGTAACGTAAACGACGAACATTGTACGATTTTGGTTTAACTTTATTGTGAAAAAAATAATGGTGAGTGGAGACAACCGAAACTCATAAACAATCTGCATGTACTATGGAGTGATATTTTTCTGTTTCTTTTATAACCTGCAGTCACTTTTGATTTCATGATAGACCTTGATGCGAAACTTTCTGTATCATTCAGGACAGCTCAACTACTGGAGATTTCTTTACCATCATCAATTTGATGATGCCTGTAAATCGGCTTCTCTCATGTTAAAACATTTATTTGTTTATACGAGAGCAGCCGAAGCTGTTGCTTACCAGACAACAGGTTCGTCTAAAATTTGCTCTTTATTCATGACCGCATGACCTTTTTCTGGTGAGTTATGCTCAACAGTTGAGAATGAGGATATACTTGACCGTCGACATTCGCCCTTTCCTCGTCTTCCGCCCTTTCCAAAAAGGATGGCTAAAGGCGTACTGCTGCCACCCTGATTACACTTGTTTGGAGGTTTTGGCAGATACCGTGTTTGGCGTGAAAATGATACATGGATCCTGGATACCAAGGAGACTGCCATACTTAGCCCATCTTTACGGAGTACCGTCTGTCCACCTACCGGCCTTGTTAGACCAGTGACCCCTGGAGAACTTGCATCCGGTACCATTAAAATCAGTTTGTGCAAGATACGTTATCCATATCAAGAAAAAAAGGACGAAAGGCACTTGAGATAGGTTACCACTGCACAAATGCTACTCGGTCCATCCCACCTGATCACTTTATTATTTATTATTATTAGTCCCTTGGGTTCCTAGTGGAACATAGGGCTTCAGTAGCACGCCTCCAGTGACATCTGTTCTCTGAGATCTTTTGAACCTGGTCCCACGACAGCCCACAACCTCTCATTTCCTCCTCGCACGACCTCCTCCATGTCACCCTCGGACGTCCAACTCGTCGCTTCCCATGGGGATTCCACTCGAGTGACTAGCCTGACGCGTGATGTCCTCAGTCGGCCTTCTCAGTGTATGGCCAATCCATC